ACATTAGTGAAAGAAATTGAGGAAAACACAAATACATGGAAATATATTTCATACTCATGGAATGGAAGAATTAGCATTGTTACAATATCCATACTACCCAAAGCAATATACAAATTTCAATTTTTTTTTTTGTATAAGCAATCCTTATCAAAAGTCCAATGTTTTTTTTTCACAGAAATAGAGAACAACTACCATAAAATCTGAGTAGAACTACAGAAGACCCTGAAAAGCCAAAGCAGTCATAAGAAAGAACAAAGCTGGAGGCATCGCATTCCCTATTTCAAACTATATTATAAATCTATAGTAATTAAAACAGTATGGTATTGACAGAAAAAAGAGACACAAAGATCAATGTACCAGAATAGAGGTCTCAGAAATAAACTCATATACTAATGGTCAATTAATTTACAACAAAGGAGTCAAGCATATACAATTTGGAAAGGACATTCTCTTCAATAAATGATGTTGGGCAAATTAGACAGCCACATGCAAAAGAATGAAACTGTCCCACTATCTATATATCATGCACAAAAATTAACTCAAAGTGTATTAAAGACTTAAACGTAAACCTTGAACCCCTCATAGAAGGGGGGCGCCTGGGTGGCTCAGTCGGTTAAGCGTCCAACTTCAGCTCATATCATGACCTCATGATTCGTGGGTTCAAGCCCCGTGTTGGGCTCTGTGCTGACAGCTCAGAGCCTGGAGCCTGTTTCGGATTCTGTGTTTCCCTCTCTCTCTGACCCTCCCCTGCTCATGCTGTCTCTCCTTCTCTCTCAGAAATAAAACATTTTTAAAAATTTTTAAAAACTCATAGAAGAAAACATAGGTGGTAATCTCCTTGACATAGGTCTTAGTGATGATTTTTTAAAATCTGACACCAAAAGCAAAAGTAACACAAGCAAAAATAAATAAGTGAGATTACATAAAACTAAAAGGCTTCTTCATGTTGATGAAAGCATCAACAAAATGAAACGACAACCTACTGAATGGGAGAAAATAATTGCAAGTCATATATCTGATAAGGGGATAATATCTAAATATACAAAGAACATATAACTCAATACCAAAAAATCAAACAATCCAATTTAAAAATGGGCCAATCTGGATGCCTGGGTGGCTCAGTCCTTAAGCAATCTGAATTTGGCTCAGATCATGATCTCATGGTTCATGAGTTCAAGTCCCACATCAGGTGAGCTCGTGCTCCACTTCAGGTGAGCACAAGACCTGCTTGGGGTGAGCTTAAGCCCCACTTTGGGTAAACATGAGCCCTGCTTCAGGTGAGCCCCGCTTCTCTCTCTCTTTCTCTTCCTCCGTCTTTCTCCCTCCTGGGATTCTCTCTCTCTCTCTGCCCCTCACTCATGCCTTCTCTCTCTCTCAAAAAAAAAAGTATTTATTTATTTATTTATTAAAATTAAAATGGGCAGATCTAAGACATTTTTCCATAGAAAACATACAGTTAGCCAACAGGTACATGAAAATATGTTCAACATCACTAGTCATCAGGGAAATGCAAATCAAAGCCACAATGAGATATAACCTCACACCTGTTAGAATGGCTATGATTTTTTAAAAAGATAAGAAATAACAAGTTGGTGATGGGGCACCTCGGTGGTTCATTCAGTTAAGTGGCGACTTCTGCTCAGGTCATGATCTTGCAGTTCATGGATTGCAGCCCCACATGGGGCTCTGTGCTGACAGCTCAAAGCCTGGAGCCTGCTTCAGATTCTGTGTCTCCCTCTCTCTCTTCTCCTCCCCTGCTCATGCTCTGTCTCTCAAAAAATGAATAAGCATTAAAAATTAAAAAAAAAAAAAACAAGTTGGTCAGGATATGGAGAAAAGGGAACCCGTATGCACTGTTGTGGCAGGTAAATTGATCCTAAACTATGGAAAACAGTAAAAAAAAGAACTATCATACAATCTAGAAATTCCGCTTCTGGGTATTTATCTGAAGAAAACAAAAACACTAATTTGAAAAGATATATGCACCCCCATGTTCATTGCAGCAATAGCCAAGATATGGAAACAACTTAAGTGTCCATCAATGGATGAATGGATAAAGAAAAGCATGTGGTATGTACATACAATGGACTGTTACCCAGCCATAAAACATAATGAAATTTTGCTATTTGTGATACCATGGATGAAACTCAAGGTCATTATACTAAATGAAATAAGTCAGACAGAGAGAGACAAATATCATATGATTTCTCTTATATGAAATCTTAAAAAACCCCAAAACCAAAACCAACAAAACACAAACTCATAGATACAGAGAACAGATTGGTGGTTGCAAAAGGTAGGGAGTGGGGGGAGGGGGAGAAATGCATGTGTTTTGTTTTGTTTTGTAAGTTTATTTATTTTGAGAGAGAGAGAACATGAATAAAGGAGGGGAAGAGAGAAAAGGAAAGAGAGAATCCCAAGCAGTCTCCACACTGTCAGAGCAGAGCCCAACGAGGGGCTTGATCCCATGAACCAAGAGACCATAGCCAAAACCAAGAACCTGATGCTCAACTGACTGAGCCACCCAGGTGCATCTGTTTTGTTTTCAGGGGGAAAAAAACCTTACCATGACCTAGCAATTCCACTTCTAGGTATATATCCAAGAGAATTGAAAACATATGCCCATACAAAAATTTGCACATCAATATTTATAGCTATATTATTCATAATAGTAATAAAGTAGAAACAACTCAAGTGTCCATTAACTGATGAGTGGATTAAAAATATAGTATATACATGCAACGGAATCTTATTTAGCCATAGAAAAGAAGAAAGTACTGACGTGCTACAACATGAACGGACCTTGAAAATACTGTACTAAGCAAAAGAAGCCAGACACAAAAAGCCATTTATTGTGTGATTCAAACCAAGTGAAATATCCAAAATAGGCAAATCTATAAAGACATAAAGTAGATCAGTGGTTTCCAAAGGTTGGGATAGGGAAGAATGGAGATTGACTGCTAATGGGTATGGGGCTTATTTAGGGGCTTATGAAAATGTTCTAGAATCAGATAGTGGTGATAGTTGCACAACTTTCTGAATATGCTTAAAAACTACTGAATTGTACAGTTTTAAATAGTGAGCTTTATAGAATGTAAATTATATCTAAAAAAATAAAAAGACCTTTACAGGGATGCCTGGCTGGCTCATTGGTGGAACATGAGATTCTTGATCCCATGGTTGTGAGTTTGAGGCCCACATTGGGTGTAGAGATCACTTTAAAATTAAATCTTAAAAAAAAAAGTTACAGAGAAAATTTTTTTAAACTTTATAGAAATATATAAAAGAATAATTTTTTTAGTGTCTTTTTTTTTCCTGAGAGAGAGAGAGAGAGAGCATGAGCAGGGGAGGATCAGAAAGAGAGGGAGACACAGAATTTGAAACAGGCTCCAGGCTCTGAGCTGGCTGTCAGCACAGAGCCCGACACAGGGCTCAAACCCACAAACTGCAAGATCATGACCTGAGCCGAAGCCAGATGCTCAACCGACTGAGCCACCCAGGCGCCCCAAGAATTATTTTTTTAAAGATGTAAAAGAATTCTTAGCAAAGGAAGGGGTAGTCCATGGTCTTAGAAGGAGCTCAGTATCAGAAGATAGCCTTTTTTCCTCCCTAAAAAAATCCAGGCAGGGTTTTTTAGGGAACTGACACTATGAAATGCTTGATGGAAACTTCTGTCTTTTAATAGCCTTGAGTAGTTTGTCACATTGGAAATATCTCAATTTGTTAAGTTTCTTTTTTTAAGTTTGGGTATGCATCTACCTAGTCTTGGTGACTTATTTACCGTAGATCTTCAATAACCTTCTCAATTTATCAAGTTTATTTTTTTAATTTTTTTTAATGTTTTATTTATTTCTAGGAGAGAGAGACAGCGTGAGCAGGGGAGGGTCAGAGAGAGAGGGAGTCACAGACTCTGAAACAGGCTCCAGGCTCTGAGCTGGCAGTCAGCACAGAGCCCAACGCGGGGCTCGAACCCACGAACCGCGAGATCATGACCTAAGCGAAAGTTGGGCGCTTAACCGACTAAGCCACCCAGGCGCCCCAAAACTCAATTTATCAAGTTTTATGTGTTTTCTTTTTAATGTATTTTCAATTAAATTTGGTAATTTACACTTTTTTTGAAAACATTTCCTCTTAGTTTTCACATTTGTTACTATGACATTCTCTTTATTTAAATCTCCTTGTGATTATTTTGCTTTTCTCATTCCATTTTTGTTCCCTTTCTCCTTTGCTCAGGTTCATAAAGTGTTTATCTTTAATATTGGTCTTTTCAAAAATAGCACATTTTCAATTTACTTTCCACCACTTATTTTTATTTTCTATTTAATTTAAAATTTTACCTTTATTTTACTACTGGAGCGCCTGGGTAGCTCAGTCGGTTAGGTGTCTGACTTCGGACTCAGGTCATGATCTCACAGTTCATGAGTTCGAGCCCCATATCAAGCTGTGTGCTGGTAGCTCAGAGCCTGAAGCCTGTTTTGGATTCTGAGTCTCCCACTGTCTCTGCCCTTTCCCTGCTCACGCTCTGTCTGTCTGTCTGTCTCTCTCAAAAATAAATAAACTTTTAAAAAATAAAATAAATAATAAAATTTTACTTTTATTTTACTGCTTTTTAGATTCATCTGTTCTTTCTCTTTCTAGATTCCTGTGGTGTACTGAGGTACTGAAACCTGAGTCAAGGGGAAACAGGAAATGCTAAGTCTTAGAAGACAGTAGAGAGCTGTACACTGCCATGTAAGTCCTGCTCCCCTGTGTGACTGATAATGAGGAGGGACGTGGATGGGCCTCACTAGAGGAACCCACGTATGAAATGGCACTTACGTGCCCTATCTTTCCGCTCTGAGCTCTGGTACATCTCTGACAGGAGGGAAGTAGACAGGTAGTACAAGTTCCCATGGAGCTTATATCTGAGGAAGACCCAACTCAGTGGCAGGTATCCTAATCCTTATGTCATAATGCAGTTGTGAACTCATAGCTGCCTCCCTCATTTTACTCATGCCAGACTTTGGGAAGTAGAGAAATCGAGGCTGAAGAACCATCTAGAGACAAGCCATGAGGCTCAGATTTTGTGTAAGAGACATGGTCAGATTTATTAGGCAAATAGGAATGGGTGGGGATCACCCAGGACTTCACAGGTCTTGGGAAAAGAAGGAATGCTGAAGCAGGGGTATCTTTGTACAGAGCCATGGAGAGAAACAGCAGTCTTAACTCATCCATTCATTTCCCATTTAATTCTGATGACAGACTCATGGCCATTTAATTTTACTTGAAATTGAAGATATTGAAGAAATAACTGAGTGGAAGAGTGAGAAACAGAAACTCAAGGTGGGTAAAATTTCCATGTAGTTAAGAGATATCCAGAACATTTACATTTGTGTCATAAAGGTGTGGAATTATTCTCCTTATAGATCCTGAGTCTAAAATAATCAGGAGTCAACTCAATATTGGCCCATTATTCCTGCACTCCTTTCTCAGCATGGGCTCTCTGGGTGTCAGTCTGACTGTGACATGAAGAGTGAATGAGGAGAATGGAAAGTAATCAAGAAATGAATGGGGCTGGGAGGTGAGAATATGAGGACTCTGAATTAGAGATTACAATATTCAAAATATGGGAAAGCTGCAGTAGAAAATGGGATAAGGGTGCTGAAAACCTACCATAGTACTGAAGTACATTGTGGCAGAGGGAAATTAGCCAATGATGGTTTGGGACTAGAATTAGCAGAAAATACCAGACAAAGGCATTATGAGGCCAAACCTCCAAAACCCAATAAACATTGAAGATGTGGAGCATGACTAACCAAGTCCCTCACATCCCTAATGTACCCTTCTATCTACCAGTGGTTTTCCCCTTGATCTATACACCTGTGAGATAGTGAGTAGGGTGCTGTGACTCTGAGGGCAGAGTGATGTGCCTACAGTGGCAAGGGCTCACTACCCAGGTATTCTGACTCTTAGGCAGTGTCTTGCTAACTCCCCTTAACTCTCCAAAGAAATGATAACTGTTAAGAGAATCCAGGCCCCTTCCAGGAAGATCTCGGAAGTTGATGGCAGGAAGTTCCCTGAGTGGTCTCTCTTATCTCCACTTAGAAACCTTTAAAAAAACAAACAAAAGCAGCCACAGAGATCCAGGCCTGGTGGCGTGGCACCCTGGTACGCCGGACATTGCTGCATGCAGCCCTCAGGGCCTGGATTATTCAGCGCTGGTGGAGGCTGACCTTGGATAGCCTGCTGCAGAAAAAGCGAAAGCAAGCCCTTTTCACCTATGCAAATACAGCAAGAGCAGTGGTCAAGATCCAGTCCTTGGTCCGTATGTGGCGTATCCAATGGCGATACCGTCAGGTGCTCAGTGCCATTTATGTTATCCAGTGCCACTGGCAATGCCACAACTGCCATACCTGTGCTCTCCTCCGGGGCCACTGTGTAGTCACAGCCACTCACCTACAGTTCCACATTGAGATCATCAACCCCTAAAGGCTGGCAAGAAGGGGCACTGTGTCTCCTGTCTCCAGTAAAAGCTTAACCTGGTCTGATATGTCTCATGTTCTCCTCCAGGTAATGGAAATGTTGGGTCTTAGGCCACGCTGCTTCCTCTTCTACCTGGGAAAGAACTTTAGTAAGGTTTTCCCATTGTGCCCATGGACCTTATTCTGGACTGACAATGATCATATGCTATTTACTCAGTTTTCAAAAAAGAAACTGAGGGTCCTTTCCTATCTTGATATATGACAGAGCCAGAAGTTTCAGTTCCCATTCCCAGCTCCATTCCTTTCTTTCCACCTGAGGGTCTGAAAGATAGGTGGAATGCATCTCACTGAAGACCCTGAGCACCTCTACACATGAGAAGAGACTCTGAGACTCTCCTCTGTCATCCTGGGGTCAGAGGTTGACTGGAGTCTGATTACCATGAACAAGGTATCTTTGACAAGCATCTAGAGAAAATGCCAACATTTACCTGACTCTACTGGAAGCAGCCAGTGCAGCATCGGGTGAAGGACAGGAGTCTGGCCTTAGTGACAGGTGCAGCTGGGCATGTTGATGAGCAACTGAGGACCCTGGGGACTAACAGAGAATAGGAGCTCATGGTACTCCAACTCTGTCTCCACAAGATCCTTACCTGAATTCCTCTCCCTAAGGGCTGTACAACAAATAGGGCTCCCTCTGATATTATTCCATCCCTACTTTTTTCTCCATTCTTGGTGATTTTATCATTGCTCAGATTGTTCCATCAACCTCCTTGCTCTAATTCATTTCAACTTGAAAACTCCCTTTATCATTTCTTGTAAGGCAGGTCTAGTGGTGATGAAGTCCTTCTGCTTTTCTTTGTCAGTCTTTATCTCTCCGTCAATCTGAAGGACAGCAATGCTAGGTGTAGTATTCTTGGTTGGATGTTTTTTCTTTTGGCACTTCAACTATATCATCCTACTTCTTTCTCACCTTCAAAGTTTCTGCTGAGATTTCCACTGATTGTGTGTGTGTGTGTGTGTGTGTGTGTGTGTGTGTTTGGAAGGGTCCCCTTCTATGTGACAAGTTGCTTTTATTCTGCTATTTTTAAATTTTTATCTTTGTCTTTGACTTTTACAATTTGGTTATAATGTATCTCAGAGTAGCCTTTTTTGGGTTGATCTTGCTTGGGGTCCTTTGAGTTTCAGGTACCTGGATGTCCATATCTCTCCCAAAATATAGGGAGTTTTCAGCTATTATTTCTTTAAGTAACCTTCCTGCCCCTTCCCCTCTCTTTTCCTTCTGGGACTTCTGTAATGTGTATATTTGTTCAGTTAGAGGAATTCCATTATTCATGTAGGCATTCTTCATTCTTTTTCATTCCTTTTTTTCTTTTTGTTCCTCTAACTGGCTCACATCAAATGACCTGTATTTGTGCTCCTTGATTCTTTCTTCTGAGTGATCAAGTCTTCTATTTAAGTTTTCTATGGGTTTTCAGTCTTTCTTTATATTTTGTAGCTCTAGAATTTGTTTCTTTTTTATGGTTTCTATTTCTTAAATCTCTTATTTTTCTCATTCATTTTTTTAAATTTACTTAATTGTTTGTGTTCTCTTACATTTAATTCAGCTTCTTTAAGGTGATTACTTTGAATTGTCAGGCGATTCACAGATCTCCATTTCTTTTTTTTTTTTTCTAAAAAATTTTTTTTAATGTTTTATTTATTTCTAGGAGAGAGAGAGAGACAGCTTGAGCAGGGGAGGGTCAGAGAGAGAGGGAGTCACAGACTGAAACAGGCTCCAGGCTCTGAGCTGGCAGTCAGCACAGAGCCCGACGCGGGGCCCGAACCCACGAACCGCGAGATCATGACCTAAGCGAAAGTCGGACGCTTAACCGACTAAGCCACCCAGGCGCCCCCACAGATCTCCATTTCTTTGGGCTCACTTACTGGAACATTATTAGCTTTCCTTTGTTCGTGTCATGTTTTCCTGATTCTTCATGATCTCTATTACTAGATGTATGGGTGAGTGTGGCTCTCACCAGGTCCCTAAGAAAGATCCTGTCAGGACACTGGGTAGGCCCTAGGAAGGCATAATTGGGCCGAGATCATGACTTAGAGTGGCTAGAACTGAGTCCCAAGGCTACTTCAGTGTTCATAGCCAGGACTGAAGTCTGCAGGCCTGGCTCTGGAGGCACAGATGGATGTATATTCTAGTTGGTCACTAAGTAGGCAGGGTTGCTCATGGATTGTGACTGGGATGGTCTGGAGCCAAGTCACAGAGCTGTTTCATGAATCTACTGTCATACCAAAGTTGGCTGTCCTGCTTCCATAGGCACTGATGGGCATTCCTCCCAGTGGATCCCCAGGCTGCTGGGACTTCTGTGGACTAAAGCTGGGAATAACAGGAGGTAAATTACAGGCCAATTTCAGGATGTCCAGGGGTGCAGAAGAGAGTGTTTCCCCTTGGGTCCCTGGGCTGTCAAGATTGCTTTAGACTGCAGTTGGGGGGTCTTGAGGTGTGTCACAGGGCCATTTCAGGATCTGCATCAGACCAAGTTTGACAGACTTCCCTCAGGGGCTCCCAGAATGTGGTTGAGAAGGGCTAGAACTGGTTCACAGGCCATTTCAGGGCCCACAGCTGGGGCCAAGATCTGTAGGTCTATTGTCTGAGATACAAATACACATGATTCCTCCCAGATTTCTTGATGTATGGTGCTGGCTGTAAGATCAAGACCAAACAAGGGACACAGAGGTGTTTCCATGTTGATAGACAAGACCATGGTTAGTGAGTCAGCCACCTGGGCATGAGCCTACATTCTCAAAATGGCCTTCTTAGGTCTTGACTCCACTAGGGTTTCACAATCTCTTACCTGGATCCCAGATCTCCTACAAAGCACTTCTGTCCATGGGAATCTGCCAACTTATTGCTGCTGAAGAGTAATATGAGCAGGGAATCTCCTTTTCCATGATCTTGCTGATATTCTTTACTAAAATGTATATTTTTTTAAATTCCCAAAGAGGGGCATCTGGGTGACTCAGTCAGTTAAGTGTCAAACTCTTGATCTCAGCTCAGATCTTGATCCTCAGGGTCATGAATTCAAGCCCTACATTGAGCTCCATGTTGGGCTCTGTGCTGGGCATGAAACTTACTTAAAAAACAAAACAAAACAAAAAACCTCCCAAAACAAAACAGTAAAAAAGAAACAATCCAGATAGAAAATAAGCAAAAGATATTAACAGATATTTCACTGGAGAGTATATAGATGGCAAATAAGCACTTGAAATCATTAACTAAGCATTCAGCTTAATCATTTGGTAAATGGAAATTAAAACCACAGTGAAGAGGAGCCTGGCTGGCTCAGTCAGTGGAGTGTGCAACTCTTAATCTCGGGATTGTGAGTTCAAGCCCCACTTGGGTGTAGAGATTACTTAAATAAATAAAAATTTTTAAAAAACCAGTGAAATGTCACTGCTTATCTATCATAATGGCTAAAACAAAAGACTGACAAAACCAAATGCTGGTGAAAAGAGCTGTATCTCTCAAAAATTGTTGGTAGGAATGTTAATTGGCACAGCAACTCTGGAAAACAATTTTGAACTTTCCTAAATAACTAAATGTGCAATTCTCATACAATTCTGAAATTGTGCTCTTGGATATTACTGCCAGAAAAAAAATGGAAATTTATGTTACACTAAAGTCCTTATATGAAGTCAAAGCTAGAGAAAACATGACAAAAAGGATGGGCCAAGATTCCATCTCCCTCATCTAGACAACAATTGCACTGGAAGACTCTTTCTGTTTTGGAGCTTTGGATTCTATTTGAAGGCTTATAACTTCCAGAAACTTAGATGGTAAATTGTCATTAGTTTTGGTCAATTTCAGCTCTTGGTGCAGTACTGGCTACCCATCTCTGACTCTACTTCCAATCCCCAGCACCGTGGTGGGAAACCATGCATGAACTCCATAAAATTTTTTATTCAGTTTCCAAAAGCCAAGGTGAGTAGATTCTTTCCTCTAAATATCAAGGATCTGTGCTCAGACTGCTTATTGGTGCTTGTGATCGCAGAAGCACAGAAACAGAGGCAGGCAGCCATTGTTGCGATTCCCGATTCCCACCTCAATTGTTTCAATACCCTTCTCCTCCCGCTAAAACAATTTTCAGAGGATTTAAAGATATGGAAATTTTTTTTAACCCCTCACTTTTCTCTTCTTCCCTTATTGAGTATCAGACATTTAAGGACTAGAACACATATACAGAGTAATTTAAAAAATCATTACGTTTGCTCAGGGAAAAGTGTGGGCTCAATATTTAAGAGAGGATCTTAAATTTATACCTTAGAATAACCCCAAACACAGATACACCTTACAACAAACCAACAACAACAACAAAGAAAGAAAACCTAGCAAAATGAGGGAAAGGGTGAAAATCTGACCTGTAGAGAGAGAAGGAGACACAGAATCTGGAGCAAGCTCCAGGCTCTGAGGTGTCAGCATGGCTATTTTTTTTTTAAAAAGGATCAAATCTTTGAAAATTATATATCTTATCAGATATTAATATCCAAAATATAGAAAGAATACCTACAACTCAACAACAACAACAAAAATCTGATTCAAAAATGGACAAAGACTTTAATAAATACTTCTTCAAAGAAGATATACAAACGACTAGTAAGCATATGAAAAGATACTCAACATCACTTATCATTAGGGAAATGCAAATAAAAACCACAATGAGATACTATTTCACATCCAGAAGATAACTACTATCAAAAGAAAGAGAGAAAGAAAGAGAGTCAGATTAACAAACATTGGCAAGGATGTGGAGAAGTTAGAACCCTTGTGCACTGTTGATGGGAATGTAAAATGGTACAAATGCTATGGAAAACAGCATAGCAGTCTTCAAAAATTAAAAATAGAATTTCTATTTTTATAATGAATTTTATAATAGAATTACTATTTTATAATGATCCAGCCATTCCACCTTTGGGTATATACAAAAAAGAATCAAAAGCAGAATTTCAAGGCACCTGGATGGTTCAGTCGGTTAAGGGTCTGACTTCGGCTCAGGTCATGGTCTTATGGTT